AATTATGGCTTCCCGATAAACTCTTAGTTGGGGCATGTCAGCACCATTCACGTTCCCAAGGTCAGTAATAATTGCTGACAATCAGCCCAGGTGGGATAGTGGGTCTGTATAATAGAGGAAACCAAATCTGTCATGGCTTGAGGTTTATCGATGTACGAGGAGTTATGTGTCTTCCAGTTAAATAAATCAGTCGTAGTGAAGGGGACATATACAAACACTGGATCTGCCCGTTGTATTTGGCCATTCTCATCCACGTGTGTTGGGCCTGATGTAAGTCTGAGGGGCATTTGGTTATGTCTGGATGGAAGGGTGCAAGTCAGTTGTCGGGTTAGTATGGGACTTCGGCAAGGCTGCTCAATAATAGGTTCCAGTCTGGGAGTAGTAAGATAGGTGTAACCTATTTTTTTTTTTAAAGTGTTAAACCAAAAACCTACCAGTAGGTGTCACCAGAGGGTAATTGTATCAAAATAATCTTTATGGGTCTAATAATAAAACTTAACTTTTAATATATTTATACATAAAATAAAACCTTATAGCAATAAATATATTAAAATAGGGTAATCAATCCTACTTCTGTCTGTTATAAACAATGTATTATCAATGTAACTCCCGAAGATGGCCAGTAGGTGGCCCTAGAGTGCCTCCCTAAAGTCTAATAAAGCAAATAGACTTTAATTAATTATGTCCCTATTTTATTATTACTTATTTTAATCACTGTCCACCCTGATATCTAGGCTTGATTAAATCTTTAGTTCTAAGGTAAATTAAACATCTCAGTTTGTATTTTAGTAAAAGGGGACATTTTGGACAAAGCTGGGAGGGGCCCATCCAGTAACTAAAAAAAGACAATATACCATCTTATACCATTGATCATTGATTAGGGGGAGGGGTAGTACAGAAATACAAGAGTTTGAAACACAGGAACAGATAGGTATGTGGGTAGGCGGGGACAGTAGAGCAGGGGGAGTGCAAATACTGACTATATACCAGTTTGGGAGGAAGAATGGGGGCGTGGCTACTCTGGCTCTGGAGGATGTTTGGGGGGTTGGTAATCAGATGCCAGGGGGGGAGGGGATGTCCAAAGCAGTTGTAATTAAGTCCTTAGTTCTGACCACCATATGGCTACATTGTTTCTCATATGACACAGTTTAACTCACCAAGGCAGTTTTTCAACAATCAGTTTCCAACAGTCAATATATAGAAACTGATCATAGAATTCCAGCCTACTAGTTACAGCCACATGTACACCCTGCACTAAATTTAAGTCAAGACTGCCACATGGAGGCCATGCAGCCACCAGGACAGGCTAGTCCATACTTTTTTTTTTTTTTTAAAACATACAAGACAAAGGACCAACAGCCTTGTGAATCAGAAGATTATTTCAACAGAACGTCTGATTCAAAAGGCTGTACAAATATACACACAGTTTCAACAGTCACACCAATCTCCTTATCACCAGCACCACATCGCACGGTCACTAGGCCCAAACACAAACATGCACGCACACAGGATCCTCATATACTCAACAATATCACGACGTCGCACACACATAATTAAATCAAAAACCCACCAAAGACTATACACTTATCAATGTAACTATTATTCAAACAATACAACTATCCACGCTATTAATCCATATAAACTAACCAATCACATAACATTTCAACAATTTCATCTCTACAATTATCCATACTATAAATCAACTTTTGACTAAACAACTATATCACATTCTAGTAACCTCATCTTTACAGTCAGTGGTTATGGTTCAGTTAGTAAGTGGTTATAATACAGTTTTAAAGTCACAGATCAGTTAGTAACAGTTATGGTATTATACATATAACATAAAACAGCAATTGTTAGTAATTTTTACACAATGTCAGTGGTTATGGTACATGTCAGTAGTTATGGTACCGTGCGCTATTTTACAGTTATACACACAATTTACACTCCCACTAGACAGCAGAGCTCTAACTTTCTAGTAGGACATACAAATTAACCAATTCACCAACTACAATATATTTAACAACATTTACAATAATCCCAACTATTCTAACTGGCCAGCACCTCGAGAGCTTTCGATCTATTTATACACCAGAGATTCGATAAGTTCTTCCCTGCCCAGACACCACGTATAGCGAACTAGAGGGCAAAATTTACACAGTACCCAGCTAGTCTATTAAACTATCAATAATCCAGTGGCTGGATTTACAACAGAGCACACTTAGTTAAGATAGGGTGAAATCTAGCAAACTATAATATACAACAGAGAATGCTAAGATTCCGCCGATCTCCCCGACCTAACAACCAAAATTTACACCTAGCATGTTAGTCAAGGCAGGACATCGGTGTCCGACATGAGCTATTTACACCAGAACTCAGTCTGACAAACCACCTATATTAGACGGGCTAACAGAGCGTCTAATTTCCAGATAAGCAGTGCGCCTTTGCTTCTTCCTTCGAAATTGAAGGGGCCAATACCAATAACCGGTTCCAAATATAAAACCCCTTGTGGGTCTACCACTCTAACGGTATCAATCTTACCTGTTAGTTCCTGGACCTGGGTTCACTCATAGACGGAACAATCCGGGACTCACTGCGCAGAAGCCGATGATCTCCTGGACAAAAGGCCAGTGGCGCCGAGACAAAAGGAGGTCCACGCAGTAGAAGTCTTGGATTGTAGCGTAGAGAATTTCGTAAAAGTTTACCGTCTCAAATCTCTGCGCCAGCTTCCGTGCGATGAGGTTCCTGGCCAATGCACCAGAAATGTTGCAGTGTAAGCATGCAGAAGCCAAACACAGAGATATGGACACAAGTTTTCAGGAAGTAAGAGGCCTTTATTCACATTACCGATCGGGTCTCAGATGAACTCCTGTTCCAAATGATCTGAGGGACAAATACCTGTGGCTTGGGACTTTTGTTAACTGCATATCTCCTCCCATACAGTATAACCCCTCCTATATTCCTCAGACCAATCAGTGAGCAGAATATAGACTTGTACATCTATTCAAAACACATGGCCCATTCAAGACAAAGGAAATAAGTGCAATTTCAGTTCCTGCATTCCTGCACATGCTCAGTACACTGATGACAGTATCCTAGCTACGTGTAGCTAACTAACTGACACAACATACACATATGCCACATGGAGATTTTGGCCTACTAAATTTTGACCATGCTGGAATCCCATCACACCATGGTCCCGCCCCACCTCCCCAGGGCAAGGGTGGACAAAAGGTAGATCCTCAACTGTCTTGCAGTTCTCACAATGCTTTGTCACCTGAGCTTCTGCCATTTTCCATTCTTATACTGTTGTATATGTGACCAGCATGTATTTAGCAAGAGGCTAACAAGGCATTTGCCTTGGACGGCACTTTTAGGGGGGCGCAAAAAAAAAGCTGCCCCCAATCGCCCTGGCATACATCTTCTCTCCAGAGCTCTCCTCTGAGCTCTTCCTGATCAGCTCCCTTGAGCACCCCGCATTGATGCCGGAGCCAGGATATGACATCACTCCGGCTGAGTAAAAAGTTCAGAGCTCCCTCATCGCCTCCAATATGAGCATGCCTGCCCGCCCACCCGTGCCTGCCTGCCTTGCCAGCTCAATTGAACCCCAGGGAAGAATCCACTACAGCACTCCCAAAGGTAGGGAGGCTGGGTGGATTGAAATGTAAAAATAAAAGGTAAACAATTGTGAGTGTGTGTGTGTCAGTGAGTGTTGGTGTGTGTCTGTTAGTGAGTGTTAGTGTGTGCCTGTTCGTGAGAGTGTGTATGTCTGTTAGTGTGTGTCTGTTAGTGAGAGTGTGTGTCTGTTAGTGAGAGTGTGTGTGTCTCTTAGTGAGAGTGTGTGTGTGTGTGTTAGTGTGTGTCTGTCATTAAGAGAGTATATGTGTTTGTTAGTGAGTGTGTATGTGTGTTTGTCAGTGAGAGTGTATGTGTATCTGTCAGTGTGTGTGTGTTAATCTGTCACTGAGAGTGAGTGTCTATCAGTGTGTCTATGCATGTGTCAACGTGTGTATGTATGTCTGTCAGTGTCTGTTAGTAAGTGTGTGTCTGTCACTGAGAGAGTATGTGTTTGTCAGTGAGTATGTGTGTTTGTCAGTGAGAGTGAATGTGTGTGTCAGTGTGTGTATGCGTGTCTGTCACTGAGTGTGTGTATGTCAGTGAATGTGCATGTCAGTGAATGTGCATGGTTTTGTATGGAGCATATGTGTCTGAATGAAGGGGTGTACTTGTGTATAGTGTTGAATGCAGTTGTCTGTGTACATGTTGTTGCCATTAGATTGCAGTGGTGTATTTGTGTGTAGTCTTGACATTTGAATGCAAGGGTGTATGTGTGCATAATAATGGTGTTTGAATGTTATATGTTTGTGTGTAGTGTATGCATTTGAATGCAGGGGTATGTTTGCATCTAGTATTAGTGTTTAAATGTAGGGACTAATTTGTGTGACGTGTTGGAATTTGAACGCAGGTGGTATTTGTGTGTAGTGTTGGTATTTTAATGCTGGGATCTATGCAATGCCACACACAGATACACACATATGCACACTGACACATATACATACACTGAGACACATGTACTGACATAGATATGCACAATTATAGATACACACAGATATACACGTACACTAACACACTTATAAGTCACAATTTACATATTTTCTGCCACCCTCCTGTTTTCTCACCTTTCGGGAGCAGGAAGCTTCCTTCCCTGGGATCCAGGATTTCTTAGTCCATCTCCCTCCCTCTCTGGGCCTCATCCTTCCTTTCTCTGCACTTTTCTTTGCAAGCTTGGAGTAAATGACCTGAACTCACTTACTGACAGCAGGCTGCAGGGGAACAATAACGATATGACAGGGACTTGGTCCAGTCCGCTATTAAAGGACCCCTGATCTGAGATACCCATCAAGTGTCCCTGTTAAGACCACCTGATGAGTCTCCTGAAGTCCCACCGCAGCTGGTGGGACTTCTGTATGCTGCTAGCAAACAGTTCTTCTTGCATAAAGCTGACTTGCTTCAGGCAGTAAATGCCGGGAAAAGGATACCAGACAGATTCAAGGCGATACAGCGGTTTCCCGACCTATATGCCTACACTATGCAACATCGAAAGCGACCTTACAGTGCCTTACAAGGGAGTGAAACATGGCTTCACCTGCAGCGAGCCCCCAGCCACATCGGCTACCTTAGTTCCATCACAACTGATTAGAAACACATACAATGAACTGCTCCAGAAAGTAAGATACCCATGGAATTACTTCAGGTTATGGGGGGAATTGGGGGACTTTCTAGTTCAATATGCACATCGTTGATGGTTGGGTCAGGCTTAGAGGATATTGGCTGGGGCCTTTGAGGTGGGGGAGAAAACAAGAGTTAAAGCAAAGTTGTCTAAGGGGAGATAGGAATGAGAGCAGATGGCGAAAGTAATATTGGAGCCACTGTGGCCGTACAAATATACACCCCAAAGTTTATAACAAGTGTTTAGCAAGGTAATTGCTTTAATTCTTCTGCATATGCATTTCAATATGTCTTTCAAAATGGCACCTCCTTGAGAAGGAGCCAGAAATGTAAAGCTCTGGTACATGAGTACTAATGATATGATATATGGAAGGTTCTAGACCAAGGAGCAAATAAATTCTATTTTTTTCCCATGTTCAAAGTTAATATTCATGTATTAATTATATTATTGCTTCACATGACTTTTGTCACATGTGTGACTAATGTAAACTATGGCCCGATATGATGGTTGGACCATGGTCCAGTGGTATTGACTTTCTAGCTGGGCTCTTGTAGAATATTGCAAATTCTATGTTTCTATTGATTATATATGGATGTGTGGATTGACATAAGTAACAGATGGTATAAGTCACAAGGCTTTCTGAGAGCTCTGGAATGTGGATGTGGGGGGTTTTGTCCTTATATGGCTAGAGTTAAACGCTGACGTTAGTATAAGCACATCTATATAGTAGCAATGATAAAATAATATATGGAAATAAGCAAGACAGATTAACACAATTAATAAAATTAACAACAAGGAATGATTTTGCAGAAGTGTTGGAAAAACTAAAACCACACATTGATGAGGATATTTTTAGTTTTCTTGTAAAATTTTAAAATGCATATAGACTTGTAGAATTTTCATGAGGATCAGTTAATTAATGAATTTGTGAAAAAAATTCAAGATCTAGATTCAACTGCAATTGTGTTAGCTAGAGAAAAAAGCACTTTGACAGAAGTAGCTTTGTTCTTGGATAACTTAAGGAGGGTAACCAATAATGAAGGGGTTAAAATGACTTGTGGAATTAGGCAGAGAAAGAAGTGCAGATTTTACACCCCTCGTCCCCCTTCTCCTCCTTCTTCTAGGACAGAGTGTAAAAGAGTGATACAGACAGCTGAGCCCCTCCCAATGTGTTCAACTAAAAACTGTAGAGTTAATCAAAGACAGAATATAACTCCTAAAATGATTTGTTTTTGGTGCAATAAACAACATTATTTAAGATATCAAATCAAAAGAGAAATTAAATTTGTTGATTGAAAATTTTGACAGAGAAAATACATGTGGAGATAAATCGATGAAGGCCTTTCCTTATAAACTGATAATCAGACAAATAAGAGCAATTTTAGCTAAATCGAAATTAGGAGACAGACAAGCAATGCAGTGTAACACAGAAAGTTATAAGAATCAGATAACTTCAAGAGATATGATCAGTTTAGGGAATGAGCATGGATATGTGTGCCAACAGATGTACACAGGCTGATTCCAGAATTAAGAACAGCACACAAGAATAGAGATCTATGTTAGTTTGTTGTTTTAATGAATTGTTAGTCTGAACAGTTTTTTCATTGTTTTTATGTGTGTTATAAGAAAGTATATAATTAATTAAAATAAAAATTTACATCAAGTTTGCAAATATGGCAGAATGAAATACACTAATGTAGCAGTTAGGAACATGTAATGTATGTTATATTGGGTGTATGCAATTATACAGTAACTCCAATCATTTTACAGAAGGAAAAAAACAATGTTGTTACTTCTGAGGTTGATTTAAAATCTTTGATTTAATTCATGAGAATGAGATTTTAATATCATGACTGATAATGGATTACTATATTTTGCAAAGCCTGGGCATACATATGTTTTGATTATATAGAAGACGAAAGTTTTGATAGGATAAAACCTAGATTTACAAATACATTTGATGTAGGAAACAATATATGTTTTTGTAGTTTGTTTCATGTGACAAAATGGTGCCAGTGTTAAGACAAGATGGCTGCTATTGCTAAAGTATAGTGGAAAACAATATTTAGTTGTAACATCTGATATGTGATTAGGTTATCCCTCCAGATTATTAAACAGTTTAAACTGGGGTATGATTAATAAGAGATGATTAATAAAAAGTTTATAAATTAAAATGTGTAGAAAAGATATTTTAATATAAAGGAAATTTTATACATCACATCGCATAAATGTAATGACCACTAGATGGTAGATCTCATGAGAAGAAATGAGAATGTTGTGTAGTCCATGTAATTCAAT